CTTAACCATTGACTGTCCGCTTAGAAGGGTTACAGACAATATCGCGAATAGATATTTGATCCCGTCCTGTTGGAATACTCTTATTGATTTTTAATTGCCGAACACTTATTTATTAACTGGTGCTTTTGCTATATAGGACGATATTTTGTGCTAGAGAAACCCTTGAAAGTATGGCACAGGCAATACTGTTTGATGAACTCTAAGCCCTTAATAATTTTTTCTTAACTTTGAACCGCCTTAATCGAGCCCAGAGTGTGTGTTGATATAATTTTATAAGAGTTACTCAACAACGTTTCGTACGCTATAGGTAACTTTGTTTTGATGGTCTTGTTCGATATTAGTACGTCTATAGTGATGGACCGAATCCCAAAATTGTAGATTTTTCGTGATGCGACCATATAATCTATAAGATCTTGTGTGGAAGTCACACCACTGTTTGTACTGACTCATCGTGTTGCGACAATCAGTAATATGGTGTCTAGCACTTCTGAAGAACACATCTGGGCTAGGGATAGAATGATGTATTTAACATGAAAAGGCAGAAGTTACATGGAGTTACTACGCCTCCATTACCAAGCAATGCCATTCTTAGTTTGTGCTCTTACGTTCGCCGTGACTTGTCGATTCCCAGTCACGTGAACAAAATCTAAGAGGCGTGTTAAAATTTTTTAGGTGAGAACGAAATGAAGCTAAACAAAACCAAGCGTGTTTGCGGGGTTTATACCTTATAATTTTATCGAACGCAAAATAAACTTAAAAAGGGATTACATCAATCAAAAAATAGGCAGAAAAAATTAGACCATATCCCACATCCAGTTTTTTGACACGAGTTTCAGGCTTAATTGGGCTATAGGTCCGAATAACTTTAACACTATGGTTTTTTGTTAACCACTCATTGGTAGTGTTTTCCAATTAGAAACCCTTTAAACTTTGTTTAAGTGTCTGGATCCGCATATAATGGGCCAACGTGGTCGAATAAGGAAGCTGATAGTGAAACGAAAGAATAATTCTCAGAAGAAGTAAACATAGGAGGACAACCTCAATACCGTTGATTAGTTGCTATGTATGCTGAAGACTTATGTTGCGAATTAATCCTGCAAACGTTTTACCAAATACAGAGACTTAAAATAAATATACATTTACAGGATACATAGTTATTATTAGAATTTAAAAATGTCACCCATTTTCACACGATAATAATTGTTTTCATGGGTTAGTGATCGAAAAAGAATGTCTGTAAACTGATTTTACTAACGAATAACACTATTACATCTAATGGTTGGTTGCTCTACCCTCTCTGTAACAATCACGACATATGTATACAACAGCCAACGGGATTTGGTATAAATGAGTCCGTTTAAAGTGGACATGTGAGCCTCACGAAACGTAGGTTTGGTCTAAATAAAAAAAGCAGTAGTTCCGAAAATTTAGTTTTCTTGAAAATCACATAAGGTGACTACAGAGCCGTCTTTTCTTCCTTGAAAAAACTGAACTGCTACAGTCTGTGCCTCTACAGAGTTAGCCTACAAAATAAAACAAATAGATTCTAGTAAGTCACAATCACTCTACACCACCGTCCACTCACTTCCATGTCGTCACTCAGAAGCATTAATATCGAGCAAGTTTTTCCTTGCTTATTACACTCATCATGTTCTAGCACACAGAAAATGGTTCGGCGTCTATGCTATGGCCCCAAGCATTTGTATTCATATTTACCACGGCTATTGACAGCACGACAGCTTCAATGCAAAGACAACCGCCATTCTGTTTTATTACAACTCTGCGGCTATGTTCCAGCGATGTCGTGATCTAGTTGTCCGTGTTCGCTCTGTAGATCACCAATGTAGATTATCTATGTCGAATGACCGGAAGCCTTCTCAAGTTAAGCGGGAATGACGTGACGAACCAGCTAACGTCGAAGTCACACCTCGTGGTCAGCAGCTTACGTAGACCCCCCTATTGACGTATCGAGGTATCATAGATGCTTTGAAGGCTGCGCAACACAGAGGACGTTATTACAGAAATATGTATTACTTAAAGTAGATACAAGCGAAAGTAAGACAACTGCCGCATGGGCCAGTCCCTGATCTTGACGAGGATCGATGATTTGCTCGATATTCAATGACTCGACTCCCGGGTGACTTGGCTAGGGCTCAGCGAAATTTCACTGGCCCTACGATACTCCGCCACCAGATTCAACGGCCGTTTGAATCGATACCAAACATGTTGGGAGTTGTTGAGCGCCGGAGAGTGCCAAACGATTAATATGAATCCCCCGGGTATTGCCGAGCTGTAAGACAGACGGAAAGCAGGCGGCAGAGACTGATCGGGAAAACAGCGAGTAATAATATGTAGGTAGGACATTGATTGAACGTAAAGCCATTAGCCATAGAAATAATGAATATAACATAACGTCGCGCTGAAATATATGACTTTGACAAGTAATTGAGTTCCTCCGATGAGAAACGTTAAGTTTGCCGCAAGAGCAATGATGATAAGTGTATTATGAATCGATGTCGATGTATATACTGCCATTGATTTAAAATTGAATGTCAGATAGTGTCGTTGAAAGCCTCTAGTTATATCTATATTTTAACA